TCGAGTTCGAAGATGAGAATGGTTCGCAAAGAAATTGCTGAGTTATCGCAAAAAAGCGTTTTCTCTCATAATAAAACAAAAGCTCAGCTATTATACATCATTCGATAGAGAATTTCACGGGCTACAAAATGGTATATAAAACATTAAGGAACAAGAAGGCTAAGTCACCTATTGCAAAGATACTTAAACAAAAATTGCTTTTTACTTTTTGAAGTACACATAACACTCGGATTTAAATCCGAGGTTTTCACATTTATTGTTTTTATAACTGAATTGTATATGGATTGACGACACTACGTAAAGTACTAGGAAGGCTTTCAAAAATATCGAACATGATAGTTTTTAAAAGTATCATTTTTAAAAAGCATTAAACTCTGAATAAAATAAGAAATTGCTGCATTTCCTATGACATTCCACTAAAAAGTTATAAGCATCACAAAAAAATGTGTTTTTTGGGCAATACCATTTTAAATTTCGCTTTGTAATACGTATAGCTTTTTAACGGAAGGTTGTAGAAAATGCAGCAACTCCTCATTGATTTTATACTCTTCAAGATGATACTGTTGAAATCGATCATGTTCGGTTTTTTAGGAGCCTTCCGCTCATAGTCTATCTATGAAATTTCAATATGGAATATATTTGATAAAGAATTTTACTAGATATTCAATACTTGATATTGTAGAGAAAAATTTAAAATATATTCATCTTATATTTTTGACTAGTACTATATATTCAAATGAGATGTAAGAACGTTAGAAACGATCTTATCACAAATAAGAGATCATTTCAAGTTCCACAAAAAAACCAATGATTCAAATTTCGCGTAGTGTCTTTCTGTTTCATCTTTATTTCTTAGGAATTTTTCTATAATTAATTCATGAAGATAAAGCAGTTTTTTGTTCTTTCAGATAGGTTTATTTTTGTATATCTCTTCGTAATATATTGTATTCGAATAAATAAGCATATTATTTTAATTCGAATTTGATAGTTTTTGTTATATTTAAAATAATAACTTACTCGATAAATATATGAATAAAAATCACTCGAACCAGTTAATAAAAGTTGATCATGTGGACTAAGAGCTATTTTAATATTAAATGATCCAACACGATGACCTGTATAAGATTGAATTTTTGATGAAGATAAATAAGTATCTTCATGAAGATCAAATTGATATATTTTACTATTTGTACAATTAGCAAAAAGTATCATTCGATTTGAATCCATTTTCATATCAGAAAAACCAGCAAGACGATTTATTGATTTAACATCATCAATTGGTACACAAAACATACGTTTTGGTTTAGGTATATGATTTGTATTTAAACGTGAATATGTATAACGAAGATCCCAAACTTTAAGTGCACTAATAAAACAAAACAAAAAAAAAATAAAAATACATAAATATGATTAAACATTAATTTACCTATCAGCACAAGCACATGAATATAAATTATGTTCATCTTGAAATTCTACAGCTGTTACACTACGTGTATCTTTCTATAAACAAATAACAATAATAATCATATCAATTAAATTATTTTAATGAATAAATTTTAACTAATTTACTCGTGCTGATTTTTGTAATGCTGTTGAACTTATATGAGCACAAGCAATTGAACTTATTGGATGTAAAGCTCCTTCTATAACGAGAAAAAAAAGAAACTGTATAAAAAATTGTATATAGAAAAATTTACTTACGCTTTTTTGAATAACGTCGATCATAAATATTAATAATAGAATCTCGACCACCTGTTGCTAGAACATCTAAAATACATCTTATCCTTGATTTTTAAAATGTCACTAAATTTCAATAAACTTACTTGTACTATAGTATAATTTACATACACTTCTTACACTCATTGTATGGCCACGTAATAGATCAATTTCATCACCTGTTTCAATATCATAAATTACTGTTGTTTGATCGCCTGATGTTGCACATAATAATCGATCACTTATCCAAGCAATAGCAAATATACATTGTGAATGACATTGAAATTCTAATTAATAAATTAAATATTTCAAAGATTTTTGTTCAATCTCGAAAATTCTATTGTTAAATATCTGATTTACAGGGTGAACGGTAAATAGTACTACGATAAAAAAAAGTTGAAATATATCCACTTCGATTCGCTTGAATGATCTGACTTTTTTTGATTCGTGATCGGAGCGTATTTGAAGCTTTTTTTTTCATACGGATAACATAAGCAAATGCTATTATGAAGTAAGAAAAAAAATATATGAAGCGTATCATAAGTAGTTTTCAATTTTCATTTAAACAATAATAATAAGTCGAAACGAACCATATTCAAGCACATAAAGCAATATTACTGGCAACATCCTTGCAAAAATGAATGTTCCATGTTTGAAAATTCGACATTTTTTAACCATTAACTTTTAAACCAATTACTTCGCTAATAAAGTTCGTCTTAATTCCTTATTATTATTTTCTTAGATGATCAACAATAATACTTAATAGTAGTATTTACTTACTTTGTTCTAGTGTTGTATCCGATGCAGGAACCGAGGGTGACCCTTCCGAAGCTTGTAATTCTTGCGCTATGTGTCTGTTAGAGTCTATCGAGTTCAAAACTTTCGGATTCGGCATCAACCAGACAGACTCTACTGTATGCATTCCCAAAAAATAGGTGTTCGGTCTCTCGGAGTTTTAAATTGCCACATCTGGAGAGAAAACCTGAATAAAACACTGCTTTATCCATATGGAAGAAAAACAACTTTGAATAGATTTCTACGACTAGCAAATAATCAACCTATTGAACAAAACCGACGCTGAGATATTTCATGTTTTTCTTTTTTATCGTAATGCTATTAATAATCTAACCTTATGCCAAAAGCTTTTCATTTAAACTATCAACAAAATTCGTATTTTTTTTCTTGTTGAAGCATAAAAAATTATTCTATAGGTTACTGATTCAAGCATATGCAGTTTTCTTTTGTTCGTAATTGCCAAGCGAACGAAAGAAAAATAAATGCTGTACATTTTATGTAGTTACAAAAATTTCAAGTATATAAATGTATTTTATGGCGCTACAAAAGCAATAAAGTAGCCTTGCATAATTTAAAGTTTATATGCAATCATAAATAAACATGAAAATGTTTTATTGATATATATAAAGTTTACCTTTAACTAATTTAAGAATATCATTAAAGGTCGAGTAAAGACGAATATTACCATTATCATAACTGATTGCACATAAATCATGATCTAAATAAAAAAAATAATTCAATTACTTAGGGCAATCCAAAAGTAGTGGCTGGCAGTAGCGCTTCAATGCCTTATAATAAGCTTAAAGAAACTTTCTCTCTGCATAGTCCGATAGAAGAAAGAATACTCTATTTTTCTATGCTATTTGATCATACTTCAACTAATATCATAATAATAAAATTTCGATAAGATCTGTGTTGTGATCTTATGTGCTGGTTATAATAATACTCATTTTAAAAAATATGAATGAGTATTTTTCAAATAACTTTTGATAAAAACAAGATAGAGAACTGTGGTTTTCACCATTCGAAAGAGGAGATGAAGATCTATCGAATCGTATATTCCAGGGTGTCCTGATCTGCATTTTGTAAGGTTTTCAATCGATCTTTGTAAGAACAAACCTATCTAGTGAGTTGTTTACAGTGAATTTTCAATTATCAAGTTTAAATTCAAATCGCTAATCACAGATCAAGAAAGTGCGGGAGATTGAGATGATAAATACGAATTGTAGTCGAATCTCTAGTACGATTTTCCAGCAAAGTCTCTGTAAAAATCTCACTTTTTATGCTTTTTCTTTTTTTTTCATAAAAAAAAACATTTTTGCGGCAGTTATAAAATTGAATCAAAATACCTCAGAAGTCAATATTAGAAAAATCTCTAACATACGATTCAATGCATCTTCATCTCCTCTTTCCAACGATGAAAACCGCACTTTTCTATGATGTATTCATCAAAAGTTATTCAAAAAATACTCACTAGCAAGTCATGTAACCACGACACATGCGAACAAAACATCGAAACTTTATTATTATTATATTAGTTGAAGTATGTTCAAATAGCATAGAAAAATAGAGCATTCTTTTCTCTATCAGACTATATACAAAGAAAGTCTTTTAAAGCTTTTTATAAGGAATAAAAGTACTACTGCCACTACTTTTGGATTGCCCTAAGTAAATTGTTATTAAATAATCTGACGTTTTTTCAACTTCGAAAAAAGAAATCTATGAAAATCTTCCGTTCGCTTATAATTGAAGCAAACGAATATTATTAGCATGATCCATTGTAGAAAATCGATGGTAGTCATGAGTAGGAATAATATAATCCTTGCAGACATGCAACATTACTTTGACATAATCAATTCTAAATATTACATGTCCTAATTCATTTTAATAAAGACATAAAATCAAAATGACAGTTGTATGACAATTAAAATTGCAATGTAAATCTAAACTTTTTCTCTCGATAGAATTATCAATTTTATTAAAAATAAAATTTTTTCTAATTCTGTGACAGTTCCACTATGTACTATTATATATTCGAAATAATCATCTGTGAAAGGAAACATAAATTTTACAATATAGTTTTAAAGAAGATCCTAAACAAAATGTTAGTAAAAGTTCTTCAAAGCCTATGGGAATTCATTTTCATTGAGATTTGAAGCTGAATTATCCAAGTTTTACTCAATTTCCTATCTAATCTTAATTATATTCTGGAAAGTCAAAAATTAAAATTTTAATGTAAAATTTTCGATAGATCGAATGATATATAGAATATTCCAAAACTTATTGCTTGCCACAAACATATTACAAAAATCGAATTTATTTAAAAACTTCGTATCTCAACGAAGGGACATTCTTTTTGGCTGAAACTTTCAAGATATTGTATAGATTAGCCAATCTATCTATAAGCAAAATTTAATATCAAAATGTTATTCTTTTGATTTTTCGGTATGTATTTCAAATTGTATCAAAAACTCAAGTAAAACAATAAGCACTAGCCTTAGGAAAACATCCTGATAAATTGAGTTCAAAATTTATAGATTCGAAACATACTCTACATGTTTCTAAGGCAATCTTAACGATTATCAAGTCATAATTAGCTATTAGTATTTGGATACAAAAAACTCGTACCTCTGTAGACAGAAATAAAAAAAGATTTCGATCAATAAACTTACTTGGATGAAAAGCACATGCGCATGGTACTCGTTGATACTAGAAAGAAAAATCGAATTACCTATTTATCTAAAAAACAACATGACCAAATCTCACTCACATTCGCTTCATAATCAATATAAGTATCTGTTCCAACTTCATGTACTTTTAATTTTCGATAATTCGCCATAAAATCATGAAAAAAAAATATTATTGAACAATCTAAATAAAAACTTCGTTTTTTTTTTTCAAGTTTTATTTATTTTTTGTTTATCTCAATCCCATTTATTGTTTAGATGATAATACAAAACAAAAACATAACAAAACAATGTTTTTTTTTTTCTTTAAATTGTTCTTATTTTGTTAATTTAAATAGGATTGAAAACATTTTCTTTTTTTCAATGTTTGCTATTGATGCTTATTGAAAACCACCACGTCGATGATAAGTACCTTGTTGTCGATCACCACCTGAACGTTGATTACTAAGACCTTGTTGATTTTGTTGTTCATTTGTTTCTTGAACGGAAACATTAGGTAATGTTTTAAAATCAAATGCATTCAACATATCCTTTGTATCTTGATCAATAGAAATCATTGTTTGTGGTTCAAGTGCTGAAACTTCTGGTACATAGTTATCTCGTCTTTCACGTTCTTCTTCTTGAAGTTTAATTGATATACCACGTACAGGTCCAGCTTGTATACGTTTCATTAAATGTGTGATAAAACCAGCTATTTGATTTCGAAGACGTTTTGTTGGTATAATAGCAATTTCTTCCACAACACGTTTATTTGTATGAAAATCGAGCGTTAATTTTGTATAATATTTTTCAATGATTTGACGTGATGCTTTTTTAATTGTTTTTGTACGAACACGACCCATGATTTTTTTTCAAATGATGGATAATAAAAACACTGAGATAATCTGAAAAAAAAAAGGTGACTACAGATAAATTATTGTTTGGTAAAAAAAAAAATGTTTATTCTTTTGTTTCGAATTTAATTCGTTGTTCTACATGCAAATTTACAAAAAAAAATAAAATAAAATAAATAGAAAGATTATTTTGGTTGACCAATAATTAATTTAACTTTCGGTTGACGTTCTTCTGATTTAGCTGCATAATCCGATTCTGTATGATATCGACAATGTTGACAATTATTATATTCATCAACTTCAGTTATTTTATCATCATTTGTTTGAGGATCATGTGGTTTTGTATATATACAACAACATTTTGACTTTTTTTTATTCATATACTCATTATCAACAGTTCCTTCAGACCAACGAACTCGTGGACCAGTTTCAGTTGGACGATGCAATTCAAGTATCAGTGTTGGTGAATGTGGACGAGCAGCTTGATCAGTTTCAGCTATAGTAATTGTTGTACTACCACAATCTTCAGTTGTTGTTGCCATTACGTATTGAATAAAATTAAAAGATCTGGAAAAAAAAAAGAAAAAATTAAAAATGTTTTCTTTTCCTTCAGCGCGTTTTATTATGATTTAGTTAATGATTATTATATTCGATACGAGACATACAGATGCTTTAGAGATTTATATATGCTATTCCATGAAAGAAACACAATAATTTAGGTTGAAAGTGAGGGTGAGAAAAATACTTAAAACCAACGGTCATTTGACGCACACTCTTTTGATATAATTAAAATGTATGAAACACGATCAATAGATCAGTTTGGATAAATCCGATGGTTTATAAAACAATCTTGATACATTCTAATAAATTTCATGAAATCTAATATTCTATATATATATCTTATTTTAATAATGCCATCTACTTATCCATATCTCAGTCCTCGATTTACCACCACTCCTTACTTTGTTTGTCCTCTCTTTTTTATATCGATATATATTTTAGTTAATACTATAAGCGACCTCTATTGTGTATAAAAGAAAAATATTGATGATGGTTGTATCTAAGCAATTGAATAGATTTGACATTTCATCATCGGCATTAATCTGTTTTTGTTCGGCTTTTAATCTAAATCAATAGTTAATCTTTATATAAATTATTGAATGCATGGGTCTACTTGATTCATTAATTGAATGGCTTGGCCTTCGTAAACGTCAAGTTAATGTATTAGTTGTTGGCCTTGATAATAGTGGTAAAACTTCACTTTTAAATTATCTTTTACCACATGAAAATCAATCAAATAATATTGTACCAACAGTTGGTTTTAATCTTGAACATTTTTCATGTAAAGGACTTTCATTTACAGCATTTGATATGAGCGGACAAAGTCGTTATAGAACATTATGGGCAAATTATTATCATACAGCAAATGGTATTATATTTGTTGTTGATAGTTCAGATAAAACACGTATACTTATTGCTCGTGAAGAACTTCAACAATTACTTTCGCATCATGATATATCATCAAGTAATATACCAATATTAATATTTGCAAATAAAATGGATATACGTGATGCTTTATCAGATGTTGGTGTATCATCAGCATTAGGTCTTGATGCTATTATAAATAAATCATGGCATATATGTTCTAGTAATGCACTTAAAGGTGACGGTGTAGCTGATGGATTTGAATGGTTATGTTCAGCTATTAAAACTTCACTTGGACAAACCCGGTGATGAACAATAAAAGAATTTTGTATATGTGCAATTTTATATTTCGAGTTTCATATTTGTGTTGTGATTTTCGAATAAATAAAAATAAAAGACAAATTTTTCATGAATATTTAATATTGTAAACTTTTTTTTTCTTTTATTTGTATGAGCATACTTTTCAAGAAGAAATGAAAAAAATATTCGTTCATCCTTTTGGTCTAATTAAAAATTGGTTAACTGTGAATCAATGTGAAACAAAATGATTATTGTACAATTTTTAGTTTTGTATGGATAAGATTTATGAATAGTTTTAACTAATTCATGAAAGTCATCCCTCAATTGATTCATCTTTTTGGAGTCTGGACTTTTGTGCATCATGTAGACTGCAATGAGCAATGAACATCCTGATAATAGTTTGTACTGTTAACTTATATTTCAGCTGAGATGCTTTCAGAATAGATTAACCATTGCATTGACTTTAAAAAATACCGTAAAAATGTAACATCCCGGCAGCATTAAGCTAAGAACTGGAACTGTTTTTAGAGCATTCATCGTTCATTAGGGTCTAGATGATGCACATAGTTTAAACTCCAAAGAGATTAATCAGCTCAGGGACATCTGTCGTCAGTAATCTAATAAATTATTCGATTATCTATGAATTAAGACTTTGGCAATAGGTCTTAAAAAAAATGATATTCAATTAATTTATTCATCTATCAGAAACCTTGAATTCACTTATACATGCATATGATTTCATACGATGAATTTCGTTAAAGTTTATCTTATTCACCAGTATGATCTGATAATAACGACAACAATTAAACTTCATAGAATAGAAAAATGATTATCCGCTATTTCAGATTCCATATAAAAGTTTAAGCAAAAAAGCCAGCTTAATATAGCTTATATTTTCGCTGAAAAAACCGCTTGTAAGCACACATTTTAAAGCACTTAAAAGTACTTCGAACATATTTAAGACCTTATCAGCGATTAAAATATTAGTGAAAGCTCTTCTAAAAGGCTTGTGACAGCTGAAAACGTCAAATTGTAAGTCTTTACCAGCTATTTAGAATTCATCTATTCGACAGCAGCTGACAAGCACTTGAATATAATGAAATTATAAAGTGTTTTTCAGCTATCTGTCCAATAGATGAGTTTTAAGTAGCTGGTAAGAACTTACAATTTGACTTTTTCAGGTGCCACAAGCGACTTCGAAGAGCTTTTACTACCGTTTTCATCACTGATAAGGGTTTTTTAAGCGAAAAAACAAGCTATTTCAGCTACCCTTTTCGCTTAAATTTTCACAAGGGTAGTTTTTTACTTTCTTTCTTAATATAAGCTTCAAAACTTGTCATTTTCTGTCACGATGATCTAAAAAAAAAACATCATGATCGAATTGATCTTATCTGTTTTCTGCTTTTTAATATGACGTTTCAATTTTTACAAAAAGATCCACCCGATAATGGAAATTTTTGTGGAGTTCTTTTCGATTTCAATTACCTAATTGATCGAAACGTAACTTTTTCGATTGACATCGGCAACTTCGCATCACATTCAGCCATTGAATGAAACTCAAATGCTATCTAGTTTTATTATTGTCTTGTTCACTCTATGAATATCGAGTATTTTGTTTTATTGTTCATTTCATTTCTGCTTAGAAAACATGAGATAAGATTTGGTAATATGATTATATTGCAAATAATTTTTTGTATAAATAGTACGTCTATGATATTTGACGTCGAACCTTATCTACAGACAAACCTTTACCATTGACAAAAATACAATAAAAAGACTCTGCTTCTTTTAGGAAACGTTCGATAGATTTTGCTCCCTTGATAATATTACATTGATTCTGTCAGGACACTTGTTTCACTTCATTAGATCGATATGGACAAAAAGAAGAAACAGTGAACATATATAAGAATAAACAGGAAAAACAAAATATTGAAAAGAATTTTGAAATAAAGCCTGACTATTTTAAGAACCGAAAAAGAAAAAGAAAAACATTTATAATAATGTTCGAATATCAACAAAATAATTATGTATATTTGATTTGATCGGTATAGTTGTAGAATTAATTTTATCAATTATTGTTAATGATATATTCCCCAATGAATAAAACCCTGGTTTAAAAAAACATGCACGTAAATTTAATGATAAATGCTCATATGCTGATAAATTGATAAATTGTTCAGTCATACCAGACCACAAACAACATGATGATAAAAGTGGATCATTATCTAATGATGATCTTTAAAACAGAAAAAAAACATAACATCTTTTTATTTGAACAAAAAAACCTAATTTACCTTATTAACTGTAATTGTAATTGTAATTTTTCATTAGTTCGATTAAATAATTTTAATCTAACAGGTAAAATTAAAACTTTTGTAAATTTATGTTCAACAGTTGAAGGATAAATTAATTCATATTGTATTATATCATTTGTTTCTTGTTGTGTATGAGGAGTGTCAATAGATGGGGAAAGCATATGTAAACCATGACGAATTTCAAATTGACCTAATTGATTTGATATTGCTATTTGCCAAAGAAGCATAAGAGAAATAGGAGGTATTGATAACGATACTGAATTTCTATGACGATGTATTGAGTGTATATGATCAATATTTGAAATAAAATGACGAAAAAATTCTCCGATCGGATTTTTACTTATGTCAACCTAAAATAAAATAACGAGGAGAACAATGTTGTTGTTTTGTTGTCTTTTAAAAAAATCAATTTACGTATTTATCATTTATTGTTTCCTCATTTGTTAAACAAATATGTGTCATTTGTAATGAATCATCGTGATTTTCTGGACGTTTACATTTAAATAAAAGTGATAAATTTTCACCATAACGAATTGAATCTTAAAAAAACCAAAAACTTAAAAATTGTTTTTTCTTTGAAAAATTAATCTTTACTTTGAGATATAGGAGAGAGATTTTTTATATCCCAATGTTTACTAATACATGAAAGTTGTTGAACATTGATACTCAATGTATTTTGTGTCTAATATGAATAAAAAGAAAAACAATTGTATTAAAAAGAAGAAAAACACAACTATTAAATTCTTACAGCCATTAAATTATCTATTTGAACTGGTAAAATAAGTTCACCAAGTCCTGTTAATTGGGATTGCGTTTGAAAACCAATCGAATGAGTAATTATAAATAATGATGAATGTTTTACTGTTCGATGTCTAAAGATTAAATTTTATAATTTATTTTTGCATAAAATAGAAAAAAATAGAAAAATAATTCAAATATGAAATAAGATATAAAAAGATTTGACGAAGTAATGCTTTTGTTAGAAATACAAAAGATAAGTCATGAATAATATTCTGATAAAAAATTCAAATATCTCCACTTTACTTCATTCAAATGAACTAATAGAAGTTCTTCGTACAAATAATGTAAACAAATATTAACGTTAAGGGCCAGTAAGCATTTAGGAGATATGGTTATCGGCACTATTTTGAGACGATCTCGGCAATATCTATCAGATATATATTCAAAAGTCGAATGAAAAGAATGATCGCCGAAATGAAGGTCACTGATATAGGTCTTCGAGAGAGAAATTTGACAATCTTTCTTTTCGATAATGTTCGCTTCGGCGATGACGTATTTAATCCTTCACAAGCAATATTTCAGTTTTATCGCCTAAGAGAATATTAAGACGATATCAACACAAACTTTATAAATGATTTTAAATTAATGTATACAGAAGGAAGTTTTAGAATTAGTTACTTCAAAAATCAATGATTGCAATATGTCGAATTTTTAAGAATACTGATTTTGACGAGGATGTTAGCAACTTAGTATCCAAAGAGCTTTTATTGTTCGCTTTAATTACCGGACTCACATATCAACATTTAAAATAGCCAATAGGTTAAATTTTTTTAGTAAGGTGAACAATAGTAATTAATACGTTGAATTAACCGCTTTGAGTAAACCGAAGAGAAGATATTTTAATTTTTTTTCGTATTATTATTTACGATCGACTCTATAGTAATACTCTATTGAACTATATATTCTTTTTCATCCATAATTTTTTTTATAGATTCTTTCTAATTTCAATAACAAGACTTTTATATCTTATTTCATTGTCATTTTTTTTTCTTTTTTGAATTATTCATCTTCGTAAGGTGAAATAATAACCTTAATGGTTGTTGAAAAACATCCGATTCATAAAGAAATAAAAAATCAATATTCATTTCACCAGCAAGATGTGATGCATGTAACCATAAANCATTTACCTAAGCTAAGATATAGACGAAATAAAAAAATGTTGCATACCTCGAAGATGACCAGGAAAATTTAAAAAAATACTACATGTCAGTGTTGTTATGGTATCTCATCCATAGTACAACATATAGATCTCAAACTTTGTAGTTATGTAGTACTTGATAGGTACAATAATCTACCAAAGTTTCAAGAAGTTTGCCTTTTGTTGAACGCGAGAACGATGAATTTCAAAATTGTAACAGAACTTCTGGGACACCCTTTATATCCGTATTTAACAACTTTCGAATCTTAACTGTTTTTTAAAATTTGTAATAATAAAAATACTTACAAGTGCTAATGACCAATTTGGTTTTCCATAGATTTTAAGAACATCATTATAACAACGAAGAGCATGTAAACGCTAGAATAAAATTTACTAGAATAAAACTTTCTCTCGTTGTGTTTTTTTTTTCATCAACCTGTCCAGCTTTTAAATAACGATGTCCAGCAATCACCATATAAAATGCATATTTTCGTATATGCGGTGGTCGGTAATTAAGAAAACAATATGAAGCTTGCTCAAGAAAAAGAGCACCACGTAAATCAGAATCCTAGAACAAATATAAAATTCATTTTAAGATAAGAAACATATACCTTTAGTGGCAAACAAAAGTTTAGAACAGCCGTCATATGAGAATTGGTAGGTTCAAAGAGTCATTTTATCATTGAGAAGAAAACTTAGAACTACAACTACTCTAAACTCTATGTTTGCCACTATATTTATATACTTCTTGAGAAAGTTTAAGAAATTGTTGAACAGCTTGATCATATGCTTCTTTAGATTTTAATATTTCTGTTGACATAAGTACACAACGTGTTGCAAATATTGGTAATCTAAACAATTGTAATTAAGACATATTTTTATTTTTATTATTATTACTTCTTTTCTTTGGCTTTACCTGCATACAGCTGCATAGATTTCTATAGCTTCATCCATATATTGTGTTGGATAAGCTTTACTTGCGGATGATTCTTGCATGAAATTTGCTAGACAACACATTTCCTTAATTAAATATATTGAGAATTATATTTTTGAAAAAAATTAATAAATAATTAAATAAATTATTTACTAATACACCAGCATAAAAAGTTGGTGCTTGATCACGTGATAAATCTCGTTTAGCAGCATGATAATTTGTATAAGCTAATTCATAATGTTGAAAAAGAAATGCTAAATCAGCAGTACGACGACGAACACTTTCCATGGAATCATTTGTTAAACTTATTTTTAAAAGTAAATTTTACAAAATAAATATTAAATAATTAATTTACTTCGTCGAAGAAGTTGTTGGTTGATTTTTAACAGTAGATGTATTACCACCAAAGAATTTTTTTGGCATTGAAAATAATTGTGTTATACCACGACGTGATGTTATCTAGATTTAAGTAATAATAAGAAAACAAAATTGACATTCAATTAAATATTTATTATTTATACTTGTTCATTAAATGTTTTTAAATTTGATTCGACCCATAGAAGAAGACCTTTTGTAACAAATTCATGCCTAATTAATCAATCGATCAAAAAAAGTAAATAAATGGTTATGAATTAAAGTAATATTACATAAACACATGTATTCTATCATGATCACTTAATGTTAAACAAGCACCATGAATTATCGTAGTTGTACTTGCTATCGATGAACCATCATATCCTTCATCAATTGTTGTTGTTGTTGAAGATAGATCATTACTTGATGTATCAAATGACCCTAGTGGATGAGTAATGGATGCTAAAAAATAAATAGATTTTCTATATTCTCGATTTAATCAGTTCTTTTGCTTCTTGCTGCATTTTTACGTGCCGTAGTAACAGAAAAAAACTGATTCTCGAATTTTGACTTGAAATTTTGCATAGTATCAAAAGATTTTTTTTCATCTGTAGAATATTTACTCAATAAATGCTAACAAGACGAGCTCTTATGAGTAAAATTAAAATTTTTGTTTGTAGATTTCAATCTCAAAGAAAAAACGCATACTGTTAAGATTGAGTTCTTGATCAATAAGTTCTGTTAAATTCGATAAAGAATCACTCATTGAACTATCTTTTTTTGATACTGTTTGTGATTGTTGTTGAATAGATGATGAAGATTGTTTAACATAAAGACGCCAGGGATCTGGCATATTAGTTGCTTCACTTGTATCACTACTTGTTTGACCAGCACGTTTAGAATTGATTTGTAATAAATGACAATTACCAGCTCCATATTGTTGTTTAAGATCACCAAATACGGATACAGCTCTTAAATAAAACAAAATGAATATTAATGAACAAATTTAAAATTCATAACTATACAAAAAAAAAAAAATCATAACAACCAAACTTAAACATAGAAGAAAAATCGATTTCATCAAAATTCTAAAAAACAGGTTTTTGTTTCCATATGAATTCACAAGTACTTCTTCAAAATCTTGATTTAAATTTTTTATTACCTTCTACACAAACCATCGACCCTCCTATAAATCTTTTATACTAAATATCGTTGAACTATACACGATCTCTCACATTTTAAAATAATACAAATTCCAAACTTAAACCGTTTAATCCCATAATCAATATTTCTTCCCAAAACAAGCATATCTTACTTTCGTATTGAAATACTGAAAGAAAGATATATATTTACAGAGATAATGTAAGGTATAAACTCAATTGTATGTATTCATGCTCTATTTAACAAAATAAGTTGCTTTATTTTCAACATACTTCGATTCTTCTCCTTCAGTAACATCATGTAATAAAACAAAATATCTATAAATATTTGTCATAAACCATTTAGGTAATTTGGCTGGTAATTGTTGTTGTTGTTGATTTTGTAGTTGAACAAGTTTAGAAAATGCATCGATTGGATCAAGATGTGATGTTGACACAACCATAATACCTATTTTGTTTATTTCTAATAAATAAATTATTTTACAAAAACCTAAACTTACAAGCAAGATAATTTTTAAGAAATTCATGATCACCACTATATGCTATACGTAAAAAACAATCTCGCCATGCATCAAACCAAGGTGTTGTATCTAAATTTCATTCGAAAAACTATTAAAAAAATCACTTTGCATCAATAGTATTTTACTTCTTATTTGTAATTGATATTGTTCTGTATCAATTTCACGTTCATTACTTGTTGATCCATTAGTTAATGCATTAAATACAGCATCATTTAATAATTTTTTTGCTAAAGTACTTTGTGGAGGTAAAGAATTATAATCTTTTATTTCAAGACGTAAATTTTTTAATACTATCAAATTATTTGATGGGTCACGATAGCCAACTTAATAGAAAAAAAAATACACATGGTGAAAATAAAAATTTATTACAAGAGAAAAACCTTCAGATGGAAGACGACAAAATGGTTGAATTAATTCAGCAAATGTTAAATTATTTTTTCGACAAATCGTTTCAGCATCATAACTGCATAAAACAGCAACCATTGGACAAAATGCATCTTGAATAAATTCACTAACTGATTTTTTTGTTTGTGCCATGAAAATTATACTAAAAATTTAATCAAACTACTCGAATGAAAATTTATCTTCATCCAAACGCATATCCAACATATAAAAATTTATTCATAGGATATTTGACTATCGAATGAAATAAAAATATCAATCCTTTCAATTGATCGAATAAAAAATGTAAAGAGGACGCTAATGTAGCAAGTTCCATCAATACAATATAATGAAGTTTTCTTCATATTGATTTATACAAGATTTTATCTTATCGACAACGTATATTAAAGAATGTAGATTTTAGGAATGCTGCTGATCTAGAGAAATATCAGCAATGATTCAACTAACCAAGAGAATATTCCCAGGTGATTCTCACAAGAGACATTCTCTTATTGAGATATGAGAAAGATAACGAATTTTTTGTACATGTTCTCTGCAGGACTCCAGTTTTTCAACAAAATTTGCAGACAAACAATAACACCTCACCGAATATTTTAATATGAACCTTGAGTACTCGTATCAGTCTTTCAAATTACATATTTATCTTCCTGAGGTAAAACTCAATTATGCAATAAAATTCATTAATACTTCAAAATACAATCTTTATTCTTTGTATTTCGTTCCGTGCACGACATTTTCATATATTTTATCCATTTCGATTCTATAACCAAATTCATAGCTTTGGTGTACATGTTACCAATGGATCGTGATGAATACCGAATAAACGTTTATTGGCTTCTGCTATGATATGCTTTATTTAGAATTGTTCAGCATTAGTTACAAAACCTTTAAAAAATATTCACGTTGATCGATTATAAGAAATTTATCCTCACATTCTTATGTTTATATTTTTATTATTATAAAATAAGATATTATCCAATAATCATTACAAAAATGTGAACAGCATACAAAAGATATTACTATTAACTATCTTAAAGTAGGAAATGGTTGATGGTCGATCACTGTTGAAATTATTCCTCCCTCGAGAAACTTGATTTCTTCTATATCAAACCATCACACAAGATGTTCGAAAGAGATAGCTAGTAGAATTGGCCATATAGCATTTATCTTTGCTATGCACAGGTCGATAGAAATAGTCTATAGCCATCATATTTACATGGAACCCGACTGTTGATCACAATCAACTGTTTTCATCGACCCTTCTCATGAGCTACTAGACTTTTGCCATATGATTCGATAGTACTTTTCAAGTTCTTCAAAATAGTATAAAGACATCGAGGAACTTACATTGGTCGGTATTGTCTCACATGGAGTACATTTCTCTGATCTATATCTAGTACCAGTATCGCCTACTGAAAATTTGTGTTAACATCAATCAATCTTATCGTCAACAAGATTTAATACGGTGCGAAGCACAGCATTCACTGTCGTTTGTTGCATACGCATTCAGTCTCCATACTTTGCGTGTTTTTTGGTGTAACAAAATCTGTATTTTGTGTTGTAATGATCTAGAGGACGGTGAGTCGCTAGATTGATATCTCATGATGATGCAAACGTTTTTGAATTTTTCATAGGAGTTTTCGTGCATCTTCAGTAAGTTACGCAATGCGGTAATTTTGACGAATTGATATCCATCTTTTACCAGAAATAATGAAGGCTTCCGATAAAATATGATCGACTTTAGGTGAAATCGCTTTTCGTTCGTTTGTTAATTGTAGCTTCATTATCGGGAATTGAGATCACTTTGCACCGCATTTATGTAGTCTTTTGCCAATTTTCTTCTTTTACTAACTAGACATACGCATCGCAAGTTGCTATATTCTGTTACAATGATAGCAAGAATGGAAAGCGAGAAAATACGCAGATGGACAATCTTATACTGGCTTATTTACTCATCGAACTACAAAAAAAGTTGTTTTAGGAATGTGCTTATTGCAGGCCCGACAACAGAACGGATATTTATCTCACTAAATAAGAATGCATCAAACCAAACTTAACAGAACGCGTTGTTCTAAATTTCATCCGCTATCTACATAAGACTACGGTGAGCTTTTTACTCCTGATATTCATAGTGCAAGAAAGGTATATAATTTATGTGATATAGTTTGTTTTGATTTCAAATATAAGAGTTTCCTATGGAAAATCTTGTTAATGAAATATTGAACAATAAAATTAAGTAAATATTACAGTTTGCAAAATAAGTAGTTGGATACTTTTGAAAGAATGAAAAGGGTGTGGGTGTGTGCGTGTGAGTGTTTGGATGTTGGTGTGGATAAGTACGATGAAGATTCACACAGACTCACGTCCACACCCACACTCACACCCCACACCCACATCCATACCTACAGCTATAGCCACACCCAGCTCTTATTTGACTCACTTATAGAATTTCTACAATTCTACTCGTAAAAAAAAAGAATTTTTTTTTCTCACTGAAAGTTTTCGTAAATTCGTTGATTATTTCTGGGTTAATTACTGGAGTACTATATTTAAAGTCTTTACTGAGTATTATGTTTTTTTAATATAATATCTAATGCCATATTTAATGCTTCAGTTTGCTTATTTGATGATTGTTCTAATGATGATTGTTGATTTGTATATGTGCTATATGCTTCATTTAACAGTATCATTTGATTTGATAAATGTTGAATAATTTCACTATAACGATTTGTATTTGTTTGCAATTTTAATTTTGCAGTAGCTGTATGCATAGGCAGTGTCGTACTTTGATAGATTGTAAATATTGTTTGTCTGATGGTGGTATTCACTGTGGTCAATATTTGTTGTTGTGTTTACTGTTGTTGTTGCATGATCAATAATGATTGACTCATTATGTTTAAATGATCACGAAATTTTTGTTCTTCTTCGTTTTTTTTTGTTTAAATTTGTTGTCAAGTTCTTTGATTGTTACATTCAGGTGAGATGAAGATGCTGTTACACTCTAAAAAAAATAGGTATTCTCGAAAACCCTTAGAGGGTTTCCGAGTTTGTTACTATAGGAAACCCTTTAAGGGTTTCCGAAGAAGGGTTTCCGAGGTCTCAGAAACCTATAGTACCCATTATAACTAAACCTCAAATACCTCTTCGGAAACCCAAAGAAAAGGTTTCCGAATGCCGGTAAAGCTCTACCAAACTAGACTAGACAGGAATCCATCACTTCTCTGCCACCAGCAACAAGCATTCACAGCGGCCACAGACGTTCAATAAGGCTCTGCTGTGAAGCTATCCGTAGCCAGAAATAACTAGAACAGTCATTAAAGGTCGGCAACACATAGTACTCAGAGAAAAACTTTAGTTATCCAGACGCACTTCATCGCACCATTACCAAACCATCACGAAGCTGAACATTGCAACCTTCTCCACCTAAAAAATGAAGAAACAAACCAATTCTTCGTAGAAAAATCATCTAAACTTACCCGTTTTCTTCACATNGTCTACATTAAAGATGAGATCTACAACTTTTTTTCAAATTAAATGAGCCTCCCTAAGCCTTCTTCTCCGTTTTTTAGGGGAGGCTTGAGCCTCCCCAAGCCTAATGGGTCCGCCGCCTATGGTTAGCTATCTGCCGAACATTTTAGATAATCTTCGGCTTTTGACATATTCGGCAGAGTCTGTCGTTTCACTAAATCTAGTACACAATCTGCAACTTCTGCCAGATCCGGGATTTGACAGTTTGTCTGTAGTTTCTTCTGAATCTGCCACATATTTTTAGTTTCATTATGTCTAATATACAAAGTATAGCCGACAAATCTGACAGACAGTCTTTAACTTCTATCAGATCTTACAATCTGTCTATGATTTTTGTTTTGTTTAACAGACAATCGGTAGTTCTACCAGATTTAGCAAAAAGTGTGGGTTTGATAAATCTGACAAATAATCTGTGACTTCTGCTAGATCTAGTAAGCAGTTAAATCTTATAAATCTCATAGATAATTTACGATTTTGGCAAATTTTACAGATACAATAGGACTTGAATTGAATAGGAAGCCCACTTTGAGTAAATTATATCTCTTCTAGCGGTCAAATGAGTTCTTTTTCTGTGAAACTAATGTCCGCGTCAGAATTAGATAGGGGTGGGTGTAAGTTCAGTAACTCGATAACGGTAACAGCTAGCGATCTGCGGTTTTCACCAATCGAAAGAGAAGGAGTCCGGACATCTTCTTCTTCAATAATGTATACGACGAAATCCTTTTAAGACTAATCATATTCGAAAAACATGCAAATGAACCCATGAAAATGACCTGCCAGCTGGAAGAAATTTTGATTTGACCTTTGATTTAGATAGAGGGACTTGAGTTCTATAGTTCATGATACAAAACTCTCTCCTATTTCTTACACTTTCATCGAAATGTCCAGCTATTATGATAAAAAATGGGAACACTTAGTAAAAAATCAGCAAATTTCGCATTTTTTATCATAATAGCTGGACATTTCGATGAAAGTGTAAGAAATAGGAGAGAGTTCTGTATCGTGAACTATAGATCTCAAGTCCCTCTATCTAAATCAAAGGTCAAAATCAAAATTTCATCTAGTTGGCAGGTCATTTTCATGCATTCTTTTGCATGTTTTTCGAAGATCATTAGTTTTAAAGGGACTTCGTCTTACACATTATCAGAGAAAAAGACGTCCGAACTCCTCCTCTTTCGATTGATGAAAACCACAGGTCGCTAGCTGTTGCGGTTGTTGAGTTATTGAGCTTACACCCACCCCTATCTAATTCTGGCGCTGACATTAGATTACAAGCGACTACAATTTTTAGAATTAAACTTTAAAATGTTTCACTAATGGCTAACGACTGCAAGTGCAGCTACCTTCGACAACAAAAATATTCAGAAACGTCTTTCATTGAATATGAGAAGACTTTCCTGGAAATAGAAAAGAAAAGTATAACTTTTAGCAATTTGCAAAAAATTTCCATTTCCTAAAATATTACTTTTTGATTTTGTACTATATTGTTAGTGAGGTTTGTTGAAGTTCACATTTGGCATGAAATCAGATTTCCAGCAAAAATCCTTTCGCCCAATTTTCTCGTGAAGAAAATTTTATAATGTATTTGCGTGAAATAATTCTTTACTTCTTGTTCTTCCTCTCCTTTTCTTCTCATTTGACTTTTCCTCTGTGACTGTGAAAATTTTGGTTACTATCTACGAAATAAATTTCACTTCTCTTACTTTTGAAAACTATCGAGAGTCTTGGGTCGAACTGCAACAAATCATATATAACACTAAATTTTTTCTGAAAAAAAAGAAATCGATGACTACGTCCGACAAAGTTCTGGAAACTAGCCTTTCCGTATTTTGTACACACTATAAAGAGTTTAAATTCGATTGATCTAAAACTTTCATTAACTGTTCTTTCTGACGGATTTATCTCTATCCATAGCGCTATCTTACGTTGATGAGCCTATTGAATATCATAAGTCTCCCCAAATTCAAGTTTTTGCCACCAAATTCCTGTTTTTACATATAAGACCTCATTTTGCTACAAAAGGGAAATGATATTCAGAATGAGCTATTGAACTTACATAAAAAACATTTTTAGCATTAAATCTTTGAAGAAAAAAGTTTTCATGTGTTATACTAAAAATATTTTCAAAAATTGGTTTTGTGTATTTTGTAGACATTACAAACGGTTCAAGTTCCATTAGGTTCAAACTTTCAGCAAATATTTCCGTATTGGATCTATTGTTGGTTATAGTGTTATTCGACATAGACTGAATTAGTTGTATTCCCAAATGACCCTGATTGTTTACTCACAATGCAAGTTTCTACTCTTAAAACAACAACATAGCATAAAATCAAGATGATATTTGCAGTCAGCACGTGAAACTGCGTTCGATGATGTGAGCCACGATATAGCTTCTAAGAAAAATATTTTTCGAAAAATGTATGCAAGGATACCTGACTTGCGATTTTTGCAGAAAGTTTTTTTAAACAGCGAGTTTTTGAACGTAATTTTCTGGCTATTATATAATCACTTCTAAATAATGAAAGTAGATTCCGTGAACGCAAATTAGATGTCTATCTGCTACATCAAAGTTGTCCATCGTTTGACGTGACTAGTTGATCTTTTCTTCCTTCTTTCCATAGATGAATTCAGACGATGTTTTCGAAAGCCTCCTTCACTCTCACGGTCTTCCTTATTTTTGAACAACTTCTTTATGTCATACTATATGTCTTTTTTAATGCCTCAAATAGAAACGAATAGCGAGGAGGAGAGATGAGGACGATTCGTATTTTTCAAAATTTAAACTGAATCGAGAGCAAAATATCAAGAATCAAAAATCAATATGTAGCTTACAGAAGAAAACTTTAAGCATGATTGATTTAATACGATAATCATCTAATACTACAAATAGTATTCTAACTCCCAATTTAGAATTCGAGGAAAAGATATCAATTTTCATCAAATATTAAAAAAAAGCGTTTGGATATGTTTATTTGATACCTTTAAGGAGACTATTCCCCTTTCCAGACCCAAAATTTTCAGTTTCTTTTATATGTTTAGTATGTAGAGTGAAGCACCCTCTATCTAGCGAGCACATTTTGAGAACTAAAAATCTACATTTTATGTGTAAAACTTCGATAAAAAAAAGCAAAAGAAAAAAAAAGAATTTTCTTTGAATTTTTCTCAATATCAAATTTTCGAATAAAAGAATTGAAGTTTTTTCTTCTTTTCTTCTACATAGTACGACCTATAGGACTGAAACATTTTTTATAGATTAGATCAGGGGTCGCAGCGGCCTATGTCTGAAAATCAGGAAAATAGGCAGGACACATTTTAGAAAAAAAATCAGGAATTTCGATTAAAATCTGGACATTTTAAGTCTTATCATAGTATTATTGTTCAGGATGAAAGCTGCACAAAAGTATGTATTTCAATGATAGATCATTGAAATTACTAGATTATATTTCGTCGAATATATGCTTCAAGTTCTACTTTTTTCTTTTCGTTCGCTATCTGTAATTATGCATTGTGTATACGTGTTCTTTTCTCCAGACACGTGGCTTACGGAAGGGGGCATCCTTTACTTTTGGAGTCTCATTTGTTTCTAGTCGAAATAGCATTTTTATCAGAAAAATACCCAGGTGGAAGAAAACGGCCCGTAAACGGCCTGAAACGGTATAAAAACGAGGTAAAACGTTAAAAAACGACGCCATTTTCCGTCAGCTCGGAAAACGAAGAGAATAGTGTTAAAAGCGATGGCCGTTTTCTAGCAAAAAAAACGGCCCGTAAAACGAGCTGACGGATTACGGCGAAATACGGGGAAAATTAATGCCGTTTTATGTCGTTTAATAGCCGTTTCAGGCCGTTTCCGGTGGCCTTTCAGACAACCGGAATGATCCTCCTGGGTAGCTGTAAAAAGAAATAAGAAAAATCCGCATTTTCGCAGTTTTTAAGGTTCTATATCCATCTTTTGAGCACTCAAGCCATTTCCTTGCATCACGCCTCCTTCCCCCTCTGCTACTTTTCCTCTTCTTCGCATCGTTGCTCTTCGCACGTATAAAACAAACAAGTTATAGATAAACGAATAAAAGCGTTTGCAAGAAAACTTTAGTAAATCGACTAAAATGTTAAAATAATAGAATACAAGATTTTGTCCTGATGCGCACGATCAGAAACTATATGATATAGATACCGCCGAAGTACTGGTGATAATCATTAATGATAAAATAGCTGCTTTCAAAAATCAATTAATTCGAAATAATCGAAACTTAAACTGATTATAAGAAAAAAAATGATCCAAATACATACAAATTTGAGTATCATCCTTCTTTTTATAGAAAATTTTCAATAAATATTTTAATAAAATTTGTAAGAAACGTTGAGTATAACAGAATAAAACGTCAAAATGACGCATATGTGGTCCTACGAAGATAAATCTTGAAAAGTCAGGACAAAATCAGGATTTTCAGTCAAAAGCAGGAAAATCAGAACACCTTAAAAAATCAGGACAAAATCAGGAAAGTACACACACTGCGAGGCCTGGATTAGATACATCGATCAAATTGATTAATGTGCTGTTTTGTTTTTCTTAAAAATACTATTCCTGAAGAGTTTTAGTAGGTCTCACAAAACTAGCACGACAAGAAAACAGTGCATTTTTTTATGGTACTATCAGAATTTTAGTTCTCCTGAGCCTTAAAAACGATATTTTTAAAATGAAAAAAAATAGCATATGCCCCTATTTCATCTTAATTTTCACACTAAAAGAATGAGGTATAGTTTTTTGCTGTGCAGGGAGAAACTTCAAGCCATTTTTTACCCTTGGACTTTGAATATTTTTTTGAAGAAAGAAATTTAGAGATTTCCAGTCTATGATAATTTTTACGTTATTCATTAAAATCTCTCTACTCTGAAAGTTTCAGAATTTTCTGCTAAATCGTTATCAATAAACTTCGGAAAAAAGAGAAATGGATGGGGTTCATTAAAGATTTTATTCGAGATCGATCGATACACGTTACTTTTTTTTTCAGGATCCCACTTACGACGGTCTTTGACTTAAAACCGTTTCGTTCAATGGTTTATTTCCATAGCATAATATAAGAGATCTACTTTAGTGAAACTAACATTAGGTATTTTCTGTTTGATGAAAATCAACTCTTTCTACATAGATTCCAAGACAATTTGATCAAATCAAAACAAAAGATGATAGCATTTTGAGATATCTCTAATGAACAATTGAATTCTGTTCTGCAGTTGATTAATTTTTGAAACATTTTCTCATCATTGATGAATTCAATATGGTTATATCTACGAGTTTTAACTAGTTTTATTTTTCAAAACAAAATGTAGAAAACTGTCAAACAAGAAAAGTATAAGACTAATGTATTTTAGATTGTTTCTATAATCTCTGTATTTAACTCAAATTTAATACTGATTTGAATAACCAATGAAGTAGTCTATCAAATACATTTTATGTCAAGAGTTCATTGATGGACTATGGATTGGAGTAGGTTTTAGATTTGAGAAAGCTTTCAGAGGAATGATTAGTTTAACAGTATCATCTTCATAAGATGAAATTATTTTAAAAAATCATTCTGAAAAAATCTTCTCGAATATGAGAACTATCGTGTTCGGTTTTTTTAGAAATCTTACCCTCATAACTCATCTATGAAATATTGGTATAGAATGCATTTGATAGATAATTTCATTGGCTATTCAAAGCACTACTTGAATTCGAAAAATGCTAAACTACATTCATCTTTGATGTAATTGAAAAATCTTACCTCCAAACAACAGATTTAATTGAAAATTCACTATTACGAATACATTGACAACTCATCCAGGCAAATGTTTCAGCAGCTGACATGCTTGATGATTATATTTGTTTTTGTAAAAAAACTAAAATAATTTTTTTTCAATATTTTTTTTTGTAAAAGTGCATTATCACTATAAATATTCTTAATTTCTTTTAAATTAAGAACTAAAAAGAAAATAGGAAATAATTAATATTTGAAATTTCGTATTTACTATTTGAACATATTAAATCTCGATGAATAATATGTTCACATGCTTCATCGTGTAAAGATTTCATTCCATCAGCTATTTATTTAGCATAATGAATAAATACATTTGAATAAAGATCAGGTTTTCTTTTTTTTGTAATAGATAAATTAATGCACCATCATGTGTATATTTCATAACACGATAAAGATTTCTTCTTGATAATGATCGTAAAACACCAAATAATTGTATTATATTTCGATGTCTAAGATAAGAAGAGAGCTGTCGTTTACGTAAAAGACTATCAATTAGAGTTTTATGTACAGCATCTGATATATTATCATTATCATTTTTTTTATTTAATATTGATGTTTGTATTGAATTAAATGACATTAAAGATTCTGCTGTTTTTTTTTTATTGCTAGATCAATATCACCAAATTTTTCATAATGAACATGACTAAATAAAATAAACAATTTAAAGATTGTTTTTTTCTTGAAATATTAATCAAATAGTTTATGGAAAAAGAAGAAGATATTGGAAGCAGGAAACATCATTAATCTTTTTTTATGATTCGATTCAATATGATGTCTAACTAAAATGACTCCATATGATGAATCATGACTCAAACTGTGATTGATCAGAATAAAATTGTGAAAATAAAAAATCATTTGATATATTCAAAATGAAAACTATTATATGAATCTATCGGGAAAAAAAGTTATCTTGATAAAGAACACACATATTACATAAAAATCTACAATACACCTATCCGATCGATAAATGAATGGTCATAATACTTAAATGAATTTATACTATCTATGATTTAGATAATTTTTTTTAACAAAAACTTGTTGCATTCGTAATTTCTTATGAATAAGGAAGGTGAAAAAAATAATAATTTATTAAACCATCAATTGTCATAAAGTCATCAAGGAATAAGAGAAAGTTAAAAATGGTTTGTATGCTTTTACATAGATGTAGTATTCAATATGATATATGTTGAACTATGATTAGAGCGCTACGGATTCTTTCAGACTTGGTTTTGGATCCGAGTCTATATTCAACTTCAGTGTGCATTAATCTTCGGATTCGACTAGAGAAGATTTGAAATCAGGTAATATTTCTTTTTTATTTTAATTCTTCATTTTAAATAAACAGAACAAAATATAGTTGAAAATAAAAACCAAAAAACATCAAAAGTATACAAATCAATTAGAGAGTTACAGGTCTTTCTAGACTGGAGTTTGGATCTAAAAAAAAACCATGAAGCCGCAGCTTCCTAACTCTAACATATTTCATTAAAAAACTACTTAAGAAATAAAACAGTTTTTTGACAATAGTTCTGTTCTAACAAAAGATAAATTTATTAGTTGCATTTTGAAACATCAAAATTCTATTGTACTTAATGATGTACCAGATTGGATTTCATTTTCAAGTTTTCATACTAAATTTTATAAGACTAAGTTCGATTTCTGATCTTCAGCATTTTCTTTGATAATGAGCAATTAAAAATCATGGTTTGAATTATAAATCTATTAGTAACGTAACTAAAAGCTTGTTATCGCCCTTACTATCTTTTATCTCGTCTGTAAATCACACTGCTGTATTCAATATATTTAAGTGTATTACTACTATGTGTAACCAAAGTGACACTTACGTTAGTGATTGAATTTGTTAGCATAATAAAATATAAATAATAATTTTGCTTTATGTTTTACTAAATGGAACTATCAGATAAAAAAAGCTTATCATGTATTTCGTTTTTGAGACATTTAAAATCAGTTTTAAAAGCTAACTTTATATTTCAAATGATTAATGATTACTCAACCATACGATCTTGTGTTACTTAAATATATAAATGTCTTTCTGCTTGATTTTTTTATCCATATTTACAACTAGTCTTTTTGAATGCCTTATAGAAGAGCTTAACTGAACGAGTCCCAGTCATGACTCGAAACTATATAGTTTAATTTAATAAAACAATCAACAACAAGTTTAATACAAAAATCAAGAACTAATCGATGTTAGGAATAGTTTCTGATTATAATCACTTAGATGATGGAGAATGTCAAAATTAATTAATGACCAATGATTTTCTATTTTATTCAACATTGCTCGCTACATTATTTCTTCACTTTTGGAGAGTTTATTCTCAGCATATGTATTTGTATGGTCGCAAATGATAGCTCATGGGTACTAATGCCCATTTTGCAAAAAAAAGGCAGTTGGGTATTTTTTGAATAACTTTTGATAGACAGCTGTGGTTTTCACTATTAGAAAGAGGAAATTAAGGTTTCCTAAAGTTTACTTAATCAACTTTCTAAAAAAATGCCAAAAAATTGGTTTCTTATTAAATAAGAAAAACGAAAAAAATGATTTCTTTTCACAGAAATTTATAGAAAAACCCGCTTAGAATTTTGAATACAACCTCTATAACCCCTGAATGAGTAAATCTAAAAGACTGGTCCTTTCATTGTTTTGTAGATGTTTGATTAATGGTTCGATTTCACGCCTGATTATTAAACATTGACTTTAGTCACATACCGAAATACGTTAATTTTCAAAGACATTGACTTAAGTCGTTGAAAAAACTAGGTTAAGTTATCCAGCAACATATACTTCGAAATGTTTTCATCGCTTTTTGCCAACAATGAAAACTGCAACTCTCTATCTTATGTCTATCAAAAGTTATTCAAAAAATATTCACCCACCGTTTTTGAAATGGGCATTAGGTATCATATCATGAAAAACTTATTGTAAATATTCTTTATAAAAAAAAAATATAAACAGATAGCGAAAAAACTAACTTGACTCGATTCGTCCAGCCCAGCGGAAAAATATATATCTGCTTTCTGAAAATATTTATTATCATACCTTCGAATATAGAATTTTTTGTTAATATATTCAATAAAATTTCTTGCCTAAAACTACCATTACCAATTAAATTTCCATTTTGTAATTTTTTATAATCAATAATACGTAGGTTTGGTTGAAAATTAGCAACAAAATTTGTTGAAAAAATATTAATAGATTCAGAATCAACAAGTTTTTCAATACATCATTCTTCTGAGTCTAAGGTTCTTCGATCGTTTGATAACATTTCTAATTTACTACCACATCTTTAAGAAAAAAAAGAATAAAAAATTTTTTGAAAACAAAGCAAAAAAATTTTCAAACCTTAATATTAGTTCATCATCTTCTTTACTTGTATAATCATAAAGAACATGTAAAATATCATCATTATTATTTAAACATGATGAATTGTTGATGATCAATGTCGAATTTGTTAAATACATATGTAATACGAAAGAAATCAAATAGATTTCTTTGCGTAAATAATTCAATTTATCTTCTTTACAACATGATCAAAAGAATAAAATTTTGATTTTAATTTCGAATCGAAATAAAAAATAATACGTAAATTATTTATTTATTTATTTATTTACTACGAACATTATTATTTCTCCAATTATATGTCCGGGTCCAAAAATGTTGGACCCGATGGGCTCTAGTGAGGAGAGACAAGTCGAGAAGAGATATATTGTATGAATGTATTGAATGTAAGATAGGGTTGTGTGTAACGGATTGTTTTAAAGATTATCATACTCTGAAAGTATTCTGAATTATGTATTTGATCATATTTTGAAAAAATAAACATTGATTTGAAATTTTAATTATTTGTAGTTTTAAAAAAATTCCGAACTCAAAGGATTAAACGTTCAATTTGTTGTTTTTCCACAATATAATTTCGATTATGTAGATCATCTTTACTGATAGGTAGTATAATCATACAAGTAAACATGCTGTCGAACTATATTAACTTTTAATTATTCAAATAAACTAGATGGTACTTGTCATCCTTTGAAATGAATTAGCGTGTGGGTGTGCGAGTGTGTCTTTTCTCCAGAGGATGTAGATCTGGGTGTGAGTGGATCTGGAGAAAAAAAAACATTCGCACGCCCACACCCATCCCACACCAACACCTACACCCTATTAGCAGTATTTTCTCTGTTAGAAAATTAAGGACATTATCAAACAGACAAAAGATATAACATCATTCTGTATACATTTAGAAACTTTGTTAGAAAATATCATATTTCGACATTAATGCACTTCTATCTTTGACAAACTTTGTTTATTTAACATGTTTATATTCTTTATCATGAACATATACCAAATGTTTTTTTAATAGAAAGTTACTTAATCATACACAAATGAAATTTCATTCGCAGGAAGAGATCCATAGAAAATGCTGTAAACGAAAGTGTTGAAAGCAGAAATATCGAATGCGAATATATCCATAATCTCCTTTATTGAATCAACCATACTATTGCAATATCTTATCGGAGTAATTTATCTTCTAAAATTGAGATATCTATAGAATGTAAAGGAAAGGTTCAATATAGAAAATTTTATTTTTGGAAACTTTTCATATAAAGATAAAAAAAATAGAGAAAAGTAATTTTAAATACATTCGAAAAAGAAAATAAACGTGATCCGAGGATTCCGATGAAGCAAGGTCATTTTTGACTTGTATGGATTGCCTGTAAAAATGATTAAACTTTCATATGAAACATCGATTGGTTTGATATGGGTATATTTATTGAAAAAGAGCTCTTTCAGATTCTGAATTAGCGAATAAATCTTCTCCTTGATAATATTCATCGATATTTTCAAGAAACGTTAAATTCACAAAAACCACCGCAGTGACTATAACATTTCTACTCGACTCCACTCGTAGAATAAAGTCTTCATCGGATTTTACAGCTACTCTATATTCTAAATCTTTTGGTTCACCTGGTAATAATTCTCTTTGATTCAACAGAGTCTGTTTGTGTTTAGTAAATGAACCTGGTTTTACTCGTGTTTCGACTAAAACGCACCATCGTTGATTATCAGAAAATATTCTTTCTGAATATGCGATATCTGCTGCATAAAATATGCTTGGTGAAATGAATATTGCATTGGCCCAATTTGTAAATGATCCTATTTTCATATTCAAACGAATATGACCGTTCTGTGGAGAAATTTGATGTCCAGGTGATAAAACGGTACCAGCCGGATGTAATCCATGCTTCACAATTGACTCTAAATGTTTATAGTAAGTACCATGCCAGGCTAATGTCCAACATTTATTTAAATTTGATGTCGAATATTCCAAACAGTAGTCCAAATTTCTCAAAATCTTTTTAGCAATAATTTTATCAAAACGTTTTATGACAACCAAATTTTTGGCGAATCCATCACTTTTCAACTTATTTAATAATGAATTAATCTTATCATCAGTTTTCGACAGAATGCAATTTTTAATATGTTGACTGCGAGTTTCATCTTGAGGATTATTTCCAAACTTGTTTCTTATTCTTGGATTTGCTTCATATTCAAGCAAGAGTTCGACTATTGATTGATGTTCATAAAACGCTGCTGCATGAAGAGCAGTGCTTCCATCATTTTGAGTTTCGTTAATTTTACACCCGGCTCTTAATAAGAAATGACATATATTATGAAAACCATTTCTTGCTGCTATGTAAAGTAATGTTCTTCCATGATCATCTCTTTCGTTGAGTAAAGATTTTTGTTTCCTAATTTCTTTCACAAATGATTCATAATTTCCCGTAGTCACGTAATAAAAATGATCTTCTTGATTAACTAAAAACTTGTTACCAAATCTCGTATATTTTCTTGAATCTGTCGAACAGATCATATCATATGCTAATGCACATATTGCTCTTTGATACCTTGATTGTGAACATATTTTTTGTTTAAAAGCAATTTTTACATCTCTAGGAGATGAATTCTCATTTATGCCCAATATATTGAATGGATTTATCGTCTTAGAGGTGTCCATTTGTTTTCTTGGAAGAAGTTTAGTTAATAATAATTATTGTCTTCAATTTAAATTACAATTGAAAGTTCTAATACAATATCAGTGAAGGAGAATATTAATAGAAAATCTAAAAATACAAAGTAAATTAATTAAATGTAAATAAAGAAAAATGTAACGATTATTCCATACTTTTGTCAATAATGTTGACACAATAATAATACAAATTTTGGATAAGAAGAATTTAGAATGATACTCTTAAAGCAAAGTTTTCTTCTTACAATATAAACTATATAACAAGAAATAGTGCATCCCTAGTTCATACTTGTTAAATATAAAGTCTTCAAATCTAGTTTTGTATAATAATATTTCACAAGTTAAATTCTACAAAACTTCACTTTTCTCAATGCACAAAAGTCAAAGTCATCTATCTTTATCAATTGAACCTTTATGAGAGCATGTTTCAGTCACTAATCACGTTTAAACATAGTCTTCAGTTAGAAAATACATTTCGACTCGAATTGTGTTTACCTCTTCCAACTAGTCTATGAAAAATGACTATCTTATTGCACGATCTAGACGAAATTCATTAATTAAAGAAGTTATAGAGTCATGCGATCAAGTGAACCGCAGTCTTATTTTTGGATCAATGTAAAAGAAATGAGTAAACGAAATATATCTAGTTAAATGTAAGAAGAGCCATTTGTATATATATTACTATTCGCTCACATTTACCAGATACTCGCAACATAATCTTTAATGGGCACTGAAAAGGATAAAAAATTATTTTTATCTTGTGTCATGTAAAGACAATAAAATGCAAGATTTCATTGGGTCGAGTGAATAACTTTGACGATTCAGAACGATTATATTATATAATGGCTACGCACTTAAAAAATATTGTAAGATGATCTACGAACTGTATTTGGGTTTCAGAACTAGATTACATACAGCCACTAAATAAAAGTTCGTTTTTATAAGTCCAATGTCATGCTACTTTGTCAACTGGCTGTTCAGAACGTTACAGTTCATGATCATCTGGTTAGATTTCAAATATGTAGTGGAAGGCATATAAGTTAATAGAAATTTAGGATGATTTAGTACACGACAAAGAATACAATGCAAACGAGAACGGCCATCATCCAAATGAACATATAGGCCAATAAATATAGAATAGACGAATTGATGTGCTTAAGAAAAACTCTTAAGGGATATGGCCTGATGTAGAGATGAATCCGCAGGAAATTGAATTTATTCTCTGTTACTTTGTTATCCAAGTTATAAGATCACTGGAAAATGTTATCTCCTTTGGATTCCGTTTGTTTGTTTAGTATCTTTAGCCCCATTACTCCTTTTACTCTTTTTAGTCTAAAAGGATCAGACGGATTAAAGGTACTAAAAGTATAAAAAGAACTAAAAACTTAATAGTGACAGAATCACTATTCAGATGTTTTGTAATTTTCATACTTCCTATTTTTACCATTGTAGAAGATATATAAACATAGAAAAGTAAAACGGAAAAAATTTAACTTCTCGTAAATCTATGGATGGAGTAGCTTATTTCGTTTATATGGATAGGTGCGGCATACGGCAGCAAGAGTTACATGAGACATCATATTCAGTAACTCTAGTTATAGCTGAAATATGAACTAAAAACTTCGAAAAGGGTGGTGTGATTTACTTAGTTAGTTTGGCCAAGCCTGTATCTTGCTTGATGCTCATTATCAAGACACTAACCGATGAAAATGACTTTCAGACGATCAAAATTGGTAGTAATAATAGTAATGGAATATTAGCTGGATTTAACACCGTGGAGAGCATCCTTCGATTAATAATGTCCAACATAATGATAGTAGTCGGTTGAAATATTTTCTTTTGAACAAGATTAGTAAAATGTGACAATAATGCAAGACTCAATTTTACAATCGCATTTCTTCCTAACGATGAGAAAAAAAATACTCGCAGAACGCTGTTACTTTCCGCTGTTTCACGCAAAATATATATGACGGATTGGAAGAAAAAAGTTATTTTCTCTCAAAACAAACTTCATCTCTTATAAAATTCTTTATGATTTCATTGATAAAGCTTTCATGTTTTTTGTTACTTTTAGCAGTATGAAAAAAGTTGGAAAAAACCGAAATCAAACTCACAGACGATCATATTTGTTAAATTGAGTAAATAACTGTGAAGTTTGATGGTATTACGAATGTATTCCATCAGTACACCCTTCTTGGAAGTTTCTTTTTCATGTGATGTGTGATTCATTCTTACTATATTCTGGTGAGGCCAACTTCTTTACTTCCTTGCTGCATTCTGCACAAGAAAAAAAAAGAGCAAACAATAGTTAAAACTGGAGACATAAATGAAAATGATGATCACTAACAAAAAAGTGCGATTCAAGAAAATATTGTCGTAAACTGTTAACGACATGAATTACTCGGCATATATTTGCATGGTATTTGTCACTAATTATACGTATCAAGTTTAAGAGGTTAATAAACCTTTTTAAATGTTGAACAAGTATATAGGTACTCGTTGCCCATCTGTGATTTTCACTGGACTCAGATTCTCAATGTTATTGCACACAGGATTTTGTGTCTTCATCATGCGTTTATATATATATGCACGAAACTGAAATAGTGTCATAATTTTGCAATAAATTAGACATTGCATCTCAAAAATGTCTATCCTTAACTGTACCAACAATATTTTTCTTACAAAAAAATTACAATATTTGCTACTTTCTTTTTTATTATTATTTCATTTAGACGATACTTACTGAATTCACAACATACACAAACGACTAATAATCTATATTATTAATCAGCTTGTGCCACTAAAAAAAAAACACTAAGAATTCGCAAAAAAGGATTACGAAGCATTTTAGTATTTCTTCTACGTGATTTCCACCATCAATAAACTCCATGACGAAGTTTTTTTTTTTCTTTCTCTCGATTTCCCTTACTTTTTTTTCAAAATGGACAAATTTTGTACATCTGTAGCGTCGAAAATTAGTAACACAGAGTGTTGTCTATTTTGAAAACAAAAGCGGCAAGTATAGAATAAGTTGTCCTTTGTAGATTGTAGAGCTTCTCACGCTGTATCTTGTGATGTATTTTATTTTTTTAACACCGTGCATTAGGTGATGGAGAATAATTGGAAAAAGGAACATTTTTTGTCTGAGGGAGACTTTGCTGCATCTCCTACTTTGAAATTAATCATTGTCATGTGCCAATTAAATTGATATTTTACCTAAAGATAAGATTCACCATCATTAACAAAATTTATTCCATATTTACTACTTGTAGTATTATAGTCTTTCTATTATATCTTCGACCTTTAACAAGATGTTTTTTTATAATAAAAGTTCATGAGAAAAAAATCTCATTTCAGTAAAGTATTTCTTTTGTACATGATTTCTTTGTAGGACGACTGTGATAGTGTCTATCTGAAAAATTGCTGAAAAGCTTTTATTGAAAGGAATTGATCTCTGGGAATAGTTCTTGAAACAGAGCTATTGGAAAGACTTTTATTCTATTCTAAAATTAAAATCCTCGGTAACAGAACAAACATTTTTTTGCGACAATTTCACTCCACGCAACAGAACTGTTCAAACAGATCGGTTTCTACCAAAAGAACTTTCCAACACTATTTTAGCTGATTTAATCTGAACTTGTGAGCTACAGCTATCCTAGACTTGAATACTTCTACATATTCTGACATCCAAATTTTGCGATGAGTACAGTTCTTTCGAACAAGATTGTAGATTAAAACTCGTTCATTTGACTCTGCTATGAATATACTTATTAACGATAGCCTTTCTTGAGCTCTGTTTATAAAAGTAATTTGTCATATGATGACAACCTCGAACATCTTTCATCAAAATTATTACACAAAAAAAGCAAAGATGTATCAATGATTGTGAGAATTGATTCCTCACAATCGCGAGCATAAGGTTTCACTCAAAGTATGAACACAAACATAGGAAAGACCTAATTATTAATATTCAAATTAACAACCATTTATAATGAAATAAATAATATACTACATGAAATACTAGCACAAAGGTAATTAAGTCGATGATAAATTTTCCATTATTATATCAATTATATGCAGACAGGCAATAACACTTCATTGAGTACTCGTATTAGTCTTTCAAATTACATATTTATCTTCTTGAGGTAAAACTCAATTATGTAATAATTCATCAATAGTTCAAAATATAATCTTTATTCTTTGTATTTAGATTTTATTATTGAGTACATAGCTTTACTGTACATGTTACTAATGGATCGTGATGAGCACCGAATAAATGTTTATTGATTTCTACTAGTTATGCTATGTTTTATGTAGAATTGTTCAGCATTTGATTACAAAGCCTTCAAAACATATTCATGTTGGTCGTTTTTGAGAAATTTATCCTCACATTCTTATGCTTATATTTCTATTATTATAAATTAAGATATTATCCAATAATATGTCATTGGAAAAAGAGTACTTCAGGCTCATATAAAAACATTCGATTCGTTGTTATTTTCTGTCTCCATATTAACTAAATTTATTGCGCCTCAAGACTTACGAGAAACCCTGATGAAAAAAAATTGAATTACAGTTTCAGTCTGAAGTTTTATCTATAGGTAAGTGTCGTGGATATTAGAATATCCTAAAGAATTCTAGAGACATCAAATCTGAAAAATACTGGATTTTCTTATCTTTTTTCGTGATATATTATTGCTTATTGGCTATTCAACATCACAAGAGCAACACAACTTCTTCGGCTAAAATACTCAGGGCGTTCCAAGATCATGAGACTTGCCTATATGTGAACTCATCGGGGTCTATTTATGGGTAAAGTATGAGTTCAATTTTACGGGCTGATCTAATCGAGACCTTTATTCAGGCAAATCTTTAGACCGAAATTCGTTATCTCTGTCACATCTCAATAAGACAAACGTATCCTACGGGAATTATTCTAATCTAGTTGAGGAACCATCTGGAAATGTTCGCCGCGTAAGCAATCACTGAAGTTACATCATGTAAAATTTCGAAAAGAAATAAATTTTGTTTTTTTGCAAGGATTTTTCTGATAGAATTCTATTATAAAGAATATTTAATAATCTTTAAATATAATTGTTCTTTTATTCCATTATTCTGATACTTCGAAATTAAAAAACAAAAAAAAGTTCATAATGACTACCATTATTTTTAAACCTGAGTATCAATTATTTGTTTATACATAAATTCATAATTAATTATATAAAAAAATGAAAAGAAAAAAAATTATTTAAAAAGAATATTTTAGTTCAAATTAAATCGTTATGCTTTCATTCGTTTCAGATGCATGTTTACGTCGAATACGCATTGTTGTTTCTTTCATTGAATGATATAAAGCATATGTATTCCAATGTAAACCATTTCGTGCTGTATTTTGTAGGGCAAGTGGTGATCGTACATAGGCACCATTGAGATGTGATTGAAAACAACTTGTAAACCACCATGCACCATGATATGTTAAAGCACAATTATCATAAAATAAATTATCATGATCACGATCAAATGTTGAAAATGGTGCTCCATTAGCATTATCCCATGGTGATGAAAGTGAATCACCTGCCGTTGAAATTGACGATAAATATTGAGATATTTGTAATTTATAATTTGAATTTTCATTATCTAATGAAAATTTTTCATATGCAGATGTACGAATTGAACTATCCCACGGTTTTAACTCAACGTGAAGTCTAGAAAATAAATATATGTTTAATCAAATAATTTCATTATAAAAATGAGTGCTCATTGTATAGTGAGATGGTAGAGGAAACTCAGCATTGCTATCCCATCACAAACGATTGAATTCCGCTTAACTGTTTAATTCTTGTTGGATCATTTGTGACTCATTCGTAGTGAATATCATGAAAAATAATTCTTTTAAAGTTATTTTATTTTCAATATAAACTCATAAAGGACATAGTCTTCATATTTAAAAAAAAACAATCTTTGAAATGAAAGACCTGATTTCAATCCAAAAAATCGCCGCCTTCGCACTATACAGATAAGATAATATCATAACTGGAAAAAAAATCAAATTAACTACATGTTCACAGTAAAAATGACTTCGTTCAAAGGCAACGATAAGTTCTTCGATGACTTTTGACTATAGAAAAGATCATTCATAGTCTTTCTGGAGAAAGACTTTGTCTATCTAATAATATATCTATTAACAAGGTTCTACTGCGTATCATTGACATATTAATAGGTGGTATCAATATGTCAACGATACGCAGTAGAACTTGTTAATGGATACACTATTAGATAGACGATGTCTTTCTCTAAAAACCAACATATATCCCGTTCTTTAGTCAAACTCTTATAGTCGTATATAACAATATATCAATGATATAACCAGTGTATGCTTATCCTCTCATTCACAACTTTTTTTTTCTAGTTACGACACTAACTCATACACAAAAGAATGTGATACATGTCATGTTTTCACACATTTCATTCTTACATATATTGTCCTTGATTTGTTAATTGGTGAATTTTTTCATTTCCTAACCAAAATTCAGTACGTAAATCACCAAAACCATTTTTATAATCATCCCATCCACGATAAAAATCAATAGTACCATTTATTCTTCGTTGTATAACTGTCCATCCTATTCAGAAAAGAAAAAAAAAGATTTCATTATCTTAACTTTTTTCTCGCTTATCGAGATTATTCATTTACCTGTATTATTTTCAAACATACATTGTACATCAAATGGTTCAGATGATGATCGAGGTTTTATACGATAAATTCCTTGAGAAACAAATGGTGATTGTTGACGAAATATATCATCACAATCTATAGAAAAAGAAACAAAAGTTATTCTTTGTTTTCCAATTAACAAAATGCGTGTGGATAGATATGCTCCAGGGAATGTGATAACGAACTCATATTGTTGGTATCTATTATTGCATAATGTATATATATATATATATATATATTTATATAAAAATGTACATGTATATTGTCTAAGATAGATGAAATGATAATTAAAACTGATCTTATTTGTTTATAATAAGGAAAATTAGCAATTTACCTATTGGTGTTTCATTATCGTCAAACTCTTTTTTATTTGAAACAAGTCTTCGAACATGTTGTATAGGTTTTTGTAATTCATTTACTAAGTCATTAAGAATATTTGTTAAATTTTTTATTTTATATTCCATTGTTGAAATATTTAATGCAAATGAACGTTGTTGTTTTGATAGACGCATAATTAAATCATTTATTGTTGTACCATTTTGTAATATTGGTAATGAAGAATTTTTTAAATTAGTTAATTCTTTTTCCAAACGATATAATTTTGATGTTTGACTATTATAATAATCAATCATTTCTTCAAGTACAACATCAGTTATTTCACCTTTTAAACTTGTCATATAACTTAACATTGTTTTTCGTACTTCTTCTTGAACTAATTCACGACGACGAAAACGTGGACGAACTTTATTATGCCTACCAAAAACTGAATGTGGTGGTTGTGATGATGTTGAAGGAAAACCTTCAACCAAACAAAGAATAAAACAAACTAAAACAGTCCAATCTATTGTATGCATATTCTTATCTGAAAGAAAAAGAAACACTATTTACTAGACCAACAAGAAAGAATTTCATCAAATCGATCATCATTAATAATTAGACATGGATGGTGTTTATTTCCGGAAGATCAACGAGTCTAGACATGAATATTTTTTAAAACTGAAAATTAACTTACCCTCTTTACAAATTATTAGAATTTTCTACTACGAAGTCATATAAAACTAAAACAACATGTCCTTGCACTGATATCTAACACAATGTGACTTTTGGTATTAGCACCAGGAGCATTTCTCATATCTTCTAATGTATATATATGATCTTATTATGACAAGATGAAGAGAGACATTGGCAGAAAAAAAAAAGAAAAACGAGAAAGGCAATTTATCAATCTCATCAGTGAACATATCATAAAAGAAAAGTAGTCGTCTCTATCTATATAATATAGAAACCTTGCACTCTCCATTAGACATGTCTTGATATACACTTCCTCCAATGCATTATATCATTCAAATAAGCACGATTGAGTTATCCATCGGCATAGAAAGAAAGAAAGTGGCATACTCATACTCAAAATTGATGCTACTAAATAGAAACGTGTGCACAACTGGAAAAGTGATATGTCTATATATATAATAACTATCAAAGAAGGTGCCGCATTCATTCTATCTATATGTTCACCAGACACGCCCTACATTCACAACAAAGATATATACTGTTCTATCACTTGCTTTAGTCTACTTCATCATTTTTTTTCTTGGATTTTTGTTCATCAATGATGATCGATTATATTCTCTCTTATACTGAATATTCACGTTTCTTAGCGATTTATCTTCAGGCTCTTTCATTTTACTGCGTAAACAAATCGAATGAAAGGATAGTCATATATGTCATGTTTATGTGTCTCTGCTTGTCTATTGAGATCACCAACTGAGAACTAACTGCTTCCTCAATCACTCATTTAGTGAACGATTAAGGACAAAATCGTCAGTAAGCAATTAGATTCTCTATTTCTGTATTTATTTAACAGACGTATACTATTCTAGGTTCAATGCCAGACCTCTGACCTTTCTCTTCTAAATGCGAGACAATCGATCGGAATAAAATCTCTTCGAATATAATTTTGTTGCTTTCTTTCTCTACAAATCTAAACAGAAGAAACCTTCCGGAATGATTGTCTCGTCATGATAATATAATTTGTAGTATCGATATTACGCTGGTATATATATGTCTCAGTCAGTTCATCAATATATAGAAGCAAAAGGACACGCTCGTTCCAGCTTTATGCTTATCAATAGAATCGATTGTATCTCTCACATTCAGATGAAGAAAAAAAAAAGATCAACAACATCTGCTTAACTAACTGAACTAAATATACGAATGTCATGATAGAAAAACACAATAGAAATCTACCGTTTTTCTTTTCTGTTGTTGTTATTTCGTATATATATATATGCAAGAGAAGGGCAAATGATGAAAACGGAGCTTTATCTTGCAATATATTTCGAAATGGCATCCGACGATTAGGTCAAAATATTTATTTTTCATTACGTCTGACTTCTATCCAGATGGTGTGATTATATCTCTCGATCGATCGATCGATCAGTGAACAAAAAAATACAAAAAAACCTTGAAGAAAAAAAAGAAAAAACGATGATCGATCAGATCGAACTTTACTTCAACTTACTTGGTCATACTAATTCTTTATAACAATATCTGACAGAATGATGTTGGAATAGTTCAAAAAAGAAATGAATGAATGCATGAAATTATGCGTATGGTGTGCACACGCGTCAGCATTGTTCGTTAATTTTAGAGCAGAGCTATTCTTCTTTTTTTTTTTTTCTTTTTTCTCTTCATTCAATGTTTTATGAAATGCTGATGATGACGCAAAACAGTTCAAACTTAAGTGATTGGCACAAATTAGTCTTGAATCTCTCCTATTGTCAAATAATGTATACCAGTCACTGCATTTTATATCATTGAAAGTAATATTTAGATGATTGGAAAAGTTGCCGCTAGTGATTGCACTATTTCTGTTATTATTTCAAGGCTCATTGATTGACATGATAAACGAGGTTAATCGAATGCATATGTTCTTCATAGTTGTCGATTAAATATTAACAAATCGACAATGTGCATATGTTTTTTTTTCATTGAATAAATGTAGTTTTAGATATTTACCCATCGGGAATGTTATATTATAAGTGTTCAGTAAAATTGTTTATAAACAATCAATTGATTTTATAGAAAAAGAAATCTTATACATATTAGCAGATGTTTGATTGTAAGTGATAATCTTAGAACAAATAAAGATATGATATTTTGTTCTTATCATCATATATAATTGACCTTGAAATGATTTTGTTACACAGCATATCTTACTTATTTTGTAATAAATAATATATTTTATTCAAAATTAAAGTACTAGAGTAAAACAAAAATTGATATAGTCAGTTGATTGTTTTTTTTTTCTTTTCTTTTCTTATATTAAAGAATTTAATGGTTCAAGTATATTATTTTCAATTCATTTATCACATCATTGATTCAGTTATCTAATACAATGAATCATTCTTATGATTGAAGTGTATTTGTTTGAAGCCGACTGTTCAAAGAGTTCATTTTACTATTCGTATAATTTAAAATGTTAAATGTTGATTGATAGAAAGAATGTTTTGTCTGGATTACAAAGAGAAAAATAAATTCGTTCTTTATATAATCTATACTTCAAAAATGAACGATACGAAAATAAAATTCTATATCTTTCAAATTAAGTCCAAATATCAATTAACAAAAGAAATATGCGGTTTTATTTTATTTATTTCATTTCATATATCTCATAAAGAAAAAAAAAATGGAAATTTTGCCTTTTTGGTCATAATTAAATGTTTAATGTTTTACATCTATCACAGTATACATTATCTTTCAAATGATCTATAGAAGTATTCCATGAGTTGATTATAGATATGGACGAATTGGTTTCACTTCTGCCGAGACCGAGGTCAGGATCAACATTTTTTCACTGCAACTGATACCTACATCACATTCTCATGGATTATGCATCCTGAGATTTTATGCGAAAATTACTAAATGATGACCAATTTAGTATTTGGAATGATAATTTTGATAGTAATATTAATCTTTTTTTTTCCTAAACAACAAAGTTGTCGAAAAAATAAACATGCAGAATAGAAGAAGTATTATTGAATTCCTAGAGGGAGGATATTAGAGGTCATGTAGGTCGTGTAAGATGTCTCGAGCTCATTGACACTGTTGAAAAATGATATCGTATTTTTAGATAGTGCATGTATTACTAATGGCGAACGCAGAACTACACATTGTTCTGACCGAGACTGAGACCAAAAACGATTGATTTTGCTCTTAATTATGTGAGAGAAGATTTTTGCTTGCAATAATCATTTTATTTTTATTTTATATATTGAGGAGAAATGCCGTAATAGTACACATTGAAACTTCATCATCAGATATGAATATTAAACTGAATGAGCCATGTATTTTTCATTGTATGTACTGTTAAAATTTATTTGCATGACCTTTGACAAATGAGTGAGAATTATTGTTAAGGATTATGAAGTTTTTCAATTGAGTCAAAACAATGATATATAAATGTTTTTGAAATAACGTTTGACGAATGAAAGCTAGAGAGCTCTATAGTTTTCAAATGCCGAAAGAAAAGATTACGGAACATTTTCTTATAAGTAAAAAGGTTCTTTAAAATAGAAATCGATTTTTTCCAAACTACTTTGAAAATATTTTGCTTGCGAGAAATACTCCATAATCTTTTTGTTACATATTTTTAAAATCTATAATTTGTGAAAGGAAAAATACATTTGTTTGAGAATCATGTCACAAACGTCCTTTGGAAAAAGTCCTTGACGAAATGTCCCTCAGTTATTGTCCCTCAAGAAAAGGTTCTTTAAATCTTGTCCTTTTAAAAATGTCCTCCAATGTAAATGTCCTTGATAAAAAAAGTCCTTTAGAAAATGTCCACATATAAAAATGTCCTTCATTCTTGAACCGAAGAAATTTATATAAAACATGTAAACAACTTAGATGACGCTATAATTCAAGTGTGCAATCGTAGCGATCAAGTTATATAGATAGAGNACACCCACCCCGTTCTGAAGTATTTCAAACTTTGATGTTTCGGTGTATTTATCACTGTTGATACACGATTCTGTCTGTTTGTTTCTTCTCGTTTCGCAAGTATACTATATTTAACATCATCATGTATCTAATTCTCTCTAACTTTTCCTGTCTGATTGCGTACGGCGGTATTCTGTTCTCATTTTTCTATTTTTTCTACGCCTCTCAAGCTCCTTTTCTAACATTTCTACTATCTCTTTATAAAGTCTGACACTCTTTTCTTATGTTGTAATCTCTAGGTACCGACAGGCCTTCGTCTTGGCATCGGTGTTACTCAGCTAGCAAAATAAAAAAAAAAAAAAGAATTGCAACGCAACATAAGAGCACGGAAAATATTTGAATAAAATAGATAGGCAGAGAGATATTGGATTTTAAATATTTTGCTTTCTAAAAGAGATTTCTGCGATATTTTATTAGTCATACTTCTCACTTAAAGCGTCTAAATGTTTTAACTAGATAGAATCATTTCATCCTTTTTTACTATATGTATGTTTAGTAAGTCAATTTGTATCAGGTTTATTTATTCATGTAGTTGGTAAAATATTTAGTATAAGCAAAAAGTTTTATCATGCAAAATCTATATCCTTCCAGTTTGGCTCAAAATCTGCTGGTAAACTTTCATCATTCGACGGATATAATTTATTATCATATTCTTCATTGTCAACCATTCTATCTTTATGATGATTAACAATAGTGTGACGAACTACCATCCAAGCACGTCTTTGATCAGGTGGTGGAATCGATTCCTTACATCCATCGCCTTCGGCTGATAGCTTTTTTAAATTATTGTACCAGGCTGGATACTTTGTGTTGAAATATTTAGCTCGCGGAAATATATATTCATACTCATCGTCATCTTCCTTCTTTTCATCACTTGAGTCAGACGACTGAGCACTTTTCAATACAGCAACCGTTCCTGTTGTCCAATGTTGATAGCATACTTCAAGACATGGTTTCTTTGATTTAATGTATATCCATGCATTAAATGCACTTGCTAAATGATATGTAGTTTCATGAGTTTTTACAGAACTTGAATTCGAACGTTGACAAGTGCAATTGTTAGGTGAACATTTCTCACATAAATCATGCCAGACTTCCACCTCTTCTTCGTCATGAGGTTCAGATTTACTGCATTTAGCACCACATCCAGGACATCGCGCTTGACATCCAAGCCTTTTTGAGATGTTTCGTTTACAACTTTTGAATGCTTCAGCTTTTATATTTTTTGTTAAATCTGCAACTCGCTTTTTAATGTCTTTGTAATAGTCGCAAATATTTGAAAACCCTTGTTTAAATAGATCAATATCTTGGATTGGCACATAAAGCAGATTATTCAGAAAGAATACTTTAAATAATGTTTTATCAATTGATTCTTCTAGTTTTAAATCAGGTAAAGTAAGAATCGCTGTCTCTATATCATTTTTTAATTTGCATGTGTCTTTATAGTCACTTTCTAGAACAACCTTCTTCGCTTTATCGATGATCAAAAGAATCAAATGTTCAAAATTTAATGTATGACTATGTGTTACAACATGTAATGTTGTTTTGATTTCTTGTAAGCTCAATTCAATAAAATAACGATTTATATCATAAACATATTTAAGAATATTTTCACCATTGGCTTGACTTATACTTTCTTCATAGGCTTGTTTTTGTTTAGCTTCATGATTAATAAATTGACTTTTAACGATATCTTCATTTATATCTTTTACAATTCTACGTTGTAAAAGGCGACCAATATCAGTAATGATCTGGTCTCCAATTGTTTTAGCTAGTGTTTGTCCTAATTCGAATGAATTATTCATAGCACTACATTGTTCCAATAAATTTTCTTTTCGTTTCTTCATTTCATTGATTGAATTTTTTAATTTTGATTTATAACTCTCTTGTTCCATATCTATTGCTTTCTTAATTATTATATCAAGTCCAATCACAGCTAGGTCTGCACAGAGTGTGTGTTTCTCTAATCGTTTATCAGTATTAGTTATAGATCGAGAATTCATTGCATTTTCAATAAATTGAAAAAGATTTTGCACAGTCCGTGGATCTGATGAAAAGGATTTCGTATTCGATATGAACATTAAAAGTTCTTCTTCAAATTTTGGTAAAACAGTTTTCCATATTTCTGCGAATAGTTTTTTATTTTTCTGCTCCTTTTGTTTGTCTAGGAACCATTTGACTTTGTCTTTTAACTCTCTCCAGACAGTATCTATATGCTTATCTGATGACCCTGTAAACAGTGATTTGATAGTTTTCAATATGATTTAGTCCATTTTCGCCGAAAAAATTTTTCGCCGAAGACGAATTTCGCCGAAAAGAAAATTTCACCGAAGGAAATTCGCCGAAAAAAAGTTCACCGATTCTATTTTCGCCGAAAGAA